GGGACGGGGAGCCTACTTTAGACTATGATTGTGGATGGTTTGGAGAGGTTTGGGTTGCTAAGGCTAGAATCTACCTAATGATCTCTTTTGTGAGCCTTTTTGGCCTTTTTGAGCTTGAGATGGTTATAGCTAGATGAGCTGGGAGCTCTTGTCCTTTGTTTGGGGGTGACCACTTTTGGGTCACCCCTTGTACAGATATTGTTCGGCCGAAATGGCCAAGACTTTGTTGAGCCATAGTCCACTTTTGGGACTATGGCGTATGGTTGTAGACGTTTTTTTTGGTATTGATGAAATAAATGCACAGTTTATTAAAAAAAATAGGATTAATTATTTAATTAATCCCTTAATCGAATTTGGATTTCGGGGTATCACACGTGATGTGTTCAACATGACCCTAGCCATTTCCTGTAAAGTTCGATTCTTCCTTTCGACAATTCCGTTCTATTGAGCCGTTCTTGGGGCAGAGAACTCATGTGCTGTGCCATTTTCTGAGCATAAGTCTGAGTAAGATGAGTTTTCAAATTCCTTCCCATGATCACTTCTTAGGCATAGGATTTTGACTATTGGCTTATCTTTCTCTTTTTGCAGTCTTACTCATAGAGTTTTGAATACTCCAAATGCCTCTGATTTTTCCCTTAGAAAGGATATCCAACAAAATCGCGAAAAATCATCAACACAAACGAATATATACTTCTTACCACCAATACTTTCTGTTTGTGTTGCACCCATTAGGTCAATATGAACTAGTTCCAAACATTTGTTAGTTGTAATGGTGTTTACTGCTTTGTGAGGAGCTTTGGTTTGCTTTCCATAGCATAGGCACTGCATACGCCTTCGTGATTTATACTCAGCTTTGGTACTCCTCGTACCGCATCAATTTTAATAAGCTTATCCATATCACGATAGTTCATGTGACCCAATCGTCGATGCCATAATTTGGAATTTTCTAACTTTGACCTAAAACAGGTAGTATCATTTGTTAAGATATAACAATTATCAGAAGACGAGTACCTTCCATGACGACTTGATCTGACTTGTCGCGAACACTGCAACAGTCTCGATTAAAGCAGACATTCCAGTTCTGATCATACAGCTGACTTATACTGATGAGATTAGCTCGTAATCCATTTATGAGTAGAACATCCTCCAGATGTGGCAGTCCTGGAACATTCAGAGTGCCTTTTCCAATTATCTTGTCTCTTTGACTATCGCTAAAGGTCACTGATCCATTATTTGATTGAATGGCTATTAGATACTTTGAATTTCCAGTCATGTGCCTCGAACAGCCACTCTCAAAATACCATCTGGTTTCCGTCATTGCAGCTAATAGAACAATTATAGGATAAAACAAGACATCTGACTTTCTGACCCAGATTTGTCTCTTGAAAGGAGCAATGAACTTATCTTGATACTTTTCTATTCTTTGATCTCTATAGAAGAAATAACATTCTGGTCTCGTATGACCTCAAATCTGACAGTAATGGCAAGTAGGAACATACTGTCTAAATTTCACGAACTTCTCTTTAAACTTCGAATAATAAGACTAAAATTTGATTTTAACAAGATTGGCTTCTGTGGTCTAAACAATCATTTTACCTTTGTCAAAAGTGGGCACAAACTTGGGAGTTTGACTCTCTGGATATCCAAGCCCAATCCTACTGGTTGATGTTGTTACAGATGTATTTACTTTCACAAACACAGGAACGGACCTTGAAGACTGTCCTCTTTCAAAACCAAGGCCAGTCCTACTGTTTGACATTCTGCCAGAATCCAGAATTTTGTCTAGAGTAGAAGTAGTATCCATCATTTTGATTTTCTTCTTTAGATCTTCCAATTCTTTGATCAACTTGTCTTCCCGTAATCTGATCTGATAAATAATATCGTCTTTAGAAACTAAATCAGTGTTCAATTTCTTTGCCAGTTCATCACGTTGTTTCAGATCTTCATTTAGTTTCTTGTTGACTTTCACCAATTGTTCCCAACTAGCCACAAGTTTAGCAAATTCCATCTCCAACTGAATATGTTTCTCTTCAAAATCATCCGAAGACATGTAAGCCTCATCATCGTCTTCATTAGGTTCTGACTGAATCTCCGTCGTAGTGAAGAAAGCAACAAAATTTCCAGTATTTTCATCAGACACTTGATCTGTATCTTCTTCTTCATCATCAATCAGTGTTGCAACAGTCATAGATTTTTTACGCTTTAAGTACGTTGCACATTCTGATTGTATGTGACCAAAACCTTCACATTCCCGGCACTTAACAGACCTATTTAGATTTTTGCCTGTAGATTTTGACGTGTTCTTAGTCTGACTAGGACAAGAGCTTTGACCAGTCTTTGATGAGGAGGAAGTTGATCCAGGTTTCTGATTTGCTGAGTTTTCACCCTTGGATTGATTTCGGTAAAACTGCCCTTGATTTCTGCGCTTGAATCCCTTTAAGATTTTCTTGAAGTTCTTTGTCAGAAGGGCTAGGGATTCATCTTCGACTTCTTCAGAGTCAGATTCTTGCTCAGTTTCGGTGATGAATGCCAGTGACTTTCCACGCTTCTTATAACTCAGATTGTCATTTGTCAGAACCTCAAGTTCATACGTATGAAGAATACCCATCAATTCTCCTATGCTTCACCTTTCCCATCCGACATTCTCTTGGATCGCAGTCACTTTCATCCGGAATCTTTTGGGTAGAGATCTTAGAATCTTATTGACAACACGATATTCTTGAAACGGTTCACCATGAATAGCAGCTCTATTCATCAGACTCTGAATTCTATTGTGGAATTTAGAGATATTATCATCTTCATCCATACCCAGTGCCTCATATTCTGACAGAACCATCTGAAGTTTAGACTGCTTTACATCGTTGGTACCCTCATAACGGGTTTCAAGAATTTCCCAAGCTTTCTTTGCCTCTTTCACACCAGTAACTTGAGTGAAGACAGATTCATGCAGAGATCCGACAATTGAATTCAGGGCTTTGTTGTTGAGGTCTAATGTAGTTATTTCAGCCTCAGTCCATTCCTCCATGGGTTTTGCAGATGTGGTTCCATCTGCATTCTGAACAGTAGGGGGTTTCCATCCAGTGAAAATGGTTCGATATACCCTTGTTCCTTGTGCTTGGAGATAAATCTCCATTCGAGCTTTCCAGAATGAGTAGTTGTGACCATCCAATTCTGGGGGTTTCGTGTTTTCCAACATTCTGATACACTCAGACAACCAGCCAAAACACAAGCAGAGAGAAACACAAACAGATAGATAAAAAAATGCAGAGATGAAGTACCAAAACACAACAAAAAGCTTTCCCGTTTGGATCAAGTCATTGTTTAGACTTAAAAGCTCTGATACCACATGTAATTTTGTGTGAATTGGTTAACTAACTCTTATTACCTACTTTTCTTGACAAGTAGTTGGTGTGTAGTAACAATCGCAGATCATCAACCAGATAGTCAAACAGAGAAAACACCAGTCAAAGTAAAGTGTGGAAAAGGTAAACTGGCAATGCAAGATTTGGTTACCCAGTTCAATACAATGCGTATCTACATCTGGGGGCCATCACTGATCCGTCCAATCCACTAACTCAACTTCAATGTACAAAGGTGGAAAAGTACAATCTCACCCAAGATACAATACAAGGTAAGTACCCAATCTACCTTGAACTTAGTGGATTGTGAAGTCGGAGATCTACGCACTCAGAGGTCCATGAAAGTCCCTTCCATGGAGACCAGTCTCTAGTGCAGTCCGCTTCATGACGGGATCCTCCACTGCATCCAAGAGCTGCGTGATCTTGGTGTCCACTAGTTTAAGCTCAGAATGTTCTTCTCAAATTCATCAACTCAAATCACCATGAATAACCAGTCTTGAGAAGAGCTTTTTCAAACCAGAGAGAGAACGTAATGTTCAAGTACTTTCTTCTTGATTCATTAACCATTCAATGAATCAGCACTTTAGAATATATAGTCTCTACTTCAGGGAGGTATCCGTAATCTGTAACGTCAAACTACTTGTTAGCAAGATTACATAGATACCCCTTTGAGGTGAGAAGAGGACCAAGGTCTTTCTTGTAAAAACACCTCATGGCATAACTGCCTTCTGCCAGCGCATACGCTCCTTAGACAATCAGTTTTCTTGTCAGCTTCTAGTCTTCACATAAGCTTCTGATGCATTCCCTGATCAATCAGGTCTTCATCTTCTAAACTTTAGACAGACTCTAACACGGCCTAACTACTTTGCCATAATAATAAAGCCAATAACAAAGTTGGGGTTTATCTATCTAACCAAAACACTAACATTGAAAATAACAAAAACATGTCGTAGTTAAATTTTAAAAATTTAAGTAAACCAAAGTCTATTTATCCCACTTGTTTACATTTTCAATTTTCCCATATAACAAAGCAATATTGTCTATTTATTTCCACAAAAAATAATTTCTAATTGCGTTTTTTTTAATGTGCATTAACGTAGGTCGTTATTTCAATTTATGTTTTGTGAGGACTACTTTTTTTTTTTTTAGGTGTGTTTGCACCAAATTTAGGTTAGTGGGCACCAAATTCAGGTTATTGCCCATATATCTTTTCTTAGTTCTTTAGGTGTGTGCCCCAATGATGTGGCATGTGCGAATGAGCTCTGTTGGCCTGTAGCGTGTGCGGTCTTTACTACCATATTTTGTTGTGTGCATGTCATGTGCATTACCACTTTTTTGCTATGTGCATGATAGTCATAGCGTGAGTGCGTAGTGGAATATGTTGCACACTAAGTAAAAATTTATTATGGTTTGTGCGCTTGATATTTTTGTGGGTTTGGACCTTTTTTGTTGCTTGTGCATTAAGCTAGGTTATTTGCAGGAAATAACGGTGATGAATGTAGAAGCGTGATAATTGTATTCAGTTTATGTGTCTAACAATAAAGTATTTACAAGATATACAACTTCAGAGTCCTATACAACAAAGACATACTGATATAATATAACTCTAGACTAGATAAGCTCTATTACGCCCCCTCAAACTCAAGGAGGTAAGGACACAACATTGAGTTTGTCACGTAAAAAGGAAAACCGGGAGGAGCCGAGGGCCTTCGTGAAGATATCAGCCAACTGGTCCTTCGTAGAGATGAATTGAACCGCCAAGTTCCCTGAAGCGACCTTATCCCTTACGAAATGGTAGTCAATCTCCACGTGCTTCGTCCGAGCATGAAAAACGGGGTTCGCACATAGATAGGTAGCCCCCAAATTATCACACCACAACCGAGGAGGTGAAGATAGCCGAAGACCCATCTCAACTAACAAAGAAACCAGCCAAGACACCTCAGCTGACGCATCTGCAAGCCCCTTGTACTCAGCCTCAGTAGACGACCGAGCAACAGTCTTCTGCTTACGACACACCCAAGAAACCAGATTGTTGCCAAGGTAAACAACAAAGCCGCTTGTAGATTTCTTATCCACCAGGCAATCGGCCCAATCCGAGTCCGAAAAAGCATGGACAACAAGGGAATCAGACTTAGATATACGAAGACCAAACTGCAAGGTACCCTTCACATAGCGCAACACACGTTTCAAATCAATCCAATGAGCAACCGTGGGAGCATGCATCGACCGGCACAACCTGTTAACCGCATAAGACAAGTCAGGACGAATAATAGTTAAGTACTGAAGAGCACCCGCAAGCCGGCGAAACAAAGTAGGATCCGGCAACGGGTCAGACTCGGCAGGAAACCCCGACTTCGTAGTAGAAACAGGAGTAAGAATGGGCTTACAGTCTTCCATTCCCGCACGCCGCAAAATGTCAGACATATAGCGACGTTGAGACAACACTAACGCGCCATCAACGGCCACAGTCTTAATACCCAAGAAAAACCGTGGAGCACCCAAGTCCCGAATCTTGAAAGCACCAGCAAGATGATTGAACAAAGCTGACACAAGTGCAGAATCACTACCCATGATAAGGATGTCATCCACATAAACGAGCAAGTACACACGGCAGTCAGACTTCGAATAAATGAAAAGAGAAACATCGGTTTTGGAAGACCGAAAACCAATCTTGAGCAGATAATCATGTAACCGTCGAAACCAGGCCCGAGGAGCCTGCTTCAAGCCATAAAGAGACCTCTGCAGAATACACACATGAGTAGGGAATTGCTCATCAACATATCCGGGCGGCTGACGCATGTATACAGTCTTAGCTAAATGCCCATTGAGAAAGGCATTATGGACATCCAACTGGCGGATAGTCCAACCCCGAGAGACGGCTAAAGCAAGCAAAAGATAAACCGTAGTGGGCTTCACAACCGGACTAAAAGTGTCAAAGAAGTCCTCTCCAACTACTTGATTAAACCCCTTCACCACTAAACGGGCCTTATGACGCTCAACCGAGCCATCAGCCATCCGTTTAACTCGAAAAACCCACTTGCAACCCACAATGTTTTGACCGGGACGACATGGTACCAAACGCCAAGTGTCATTCTGCAAGAGAGCGTTAAACTCAAGGTCCATGGCAGCCCGCCACTCGGGAAAAGCAACTGCTTGCGAATAACATGTAGGCTCATCAGCAGTCACAATAGCAGCTAAAGCCTGGCCAGCACGGGCGGACCGAGTCGTGTTACGAAGCTCCATAGTATGAGATCGAGGCCTAGGCTGCACCCGAGCCCATTTTCGCTGTGGCACGAGAACCGGTGCCGCCACCGTACCAAAAATCGGAGTAGGCACAGGAGGCATAGGCACATCACTGACAATAGATTGCGGCATAGGCTGGGCAACAGCCGAGACACCCCTCGGTAATGACGGAGCTGCAACCGTAGGAGGGGGGTGCACAAGAATGGCAAGGGGAAAAGAACTCTCATCGAACCGTACATGCCTGCAGATGAACATACGATTAGTGCGAGTATCAAGACATCGATACCCACGGAACGACTCCGGATAGCCCAGAAACACGATTAGTGCGAGTATCAAGACATCGATACCCACGGAACGAATCCGGATAGCCCAGAAACACACATGGGGAAGACCGAAACTCGACCTTGTGACGATTATAAAGACGGGGTTGAGGAAAACATAAGCAACCGAAAACACGTAAAAACGAGTAATCCGGAGGCCGACCAAACACAACACAGTAAGGACTAACATTTTGTAAGACAGAGGTAGGTAGCTGATTAATCAAAAAAGTAGCAGCCTCAAACGCAAAATACCAGAAACGCATGGGAACGGACGACTGAGCGAGTAAAGATAGACCAGTCTCGACAACATGCCGATGCCGACGCTCAACACGCCCATTCTGCTCATGCGTATACGCACAAGACTGACGATGATAAATGCCCAAAGTAGAGAAAAGCTTACCAAGCTTTTTGTATTACCCCCAAGATCAGACTGAACAGAAATAATAGGGCAGGAAAACTGGCGCTCAACAAGAGCTCGGAATTTAGCAAATATGTCATGAATATCAGTTTTTAAACGCATCGGATAAATCCAAATATAACGAGAATAATCGTCAATGTATAAAACAAAATACTTAAAACCATCACTGGATAAAACAGGGGCAGGAACCCAAATGTCCGTGTACACAAGTTCAAGCATTTTAGTACTATGATTACTAACACGAGAAAGCGAAAACCGGGAAGACTTCCCCATTTGACAGCAGAACATAAAGTATTCGAATGAACTAAACCAGACTCATGAGCAACCAGACAATGCCACACACTCGGCGACGATTTCGCTGACAAAAGAGCCACGGGACGCGAGACAGGAAGTGTATAGAGACCACCGGAACTCCCACCTTTAAGCAAGACGGCCCTGGTTACGCGATCTTTCACAGAGAAACATGACGGGTGAAATTCAAAAAAAACATTGTTGTCAGTACCAAATCGCTGAACTGACAATAACGAATGCGACAAGCCGGGAACAAGAAACACACGAGACAAAGATAAAGAACGAGAGGGAGTTGGCACAGAAGAACGGCCAACACTCGAGATTACCAAACCTGAGCCATCTCCGACACGGGGAGTATCACCGCCGTTGTACGAATCCACACCAGTCATCGCGCCCACATCCGGGGTAACGTGGTCCGTAGCACCTGTATCCGGTAGCCAGGTGTGCGAAAAAGGAGATTCCTCTAATACAGTAGACTGCGCCAAGTGTGCCTGGGGAATTGGCGCATCAGAATAGCGCTTAAAGCAGGATATAGCAGTATGGCCAATCCCACTGCAAATCTGACATTTGGGCAGATTAGTCCGACCACCACCACGCCCGGACGGAGCTCCACGCCTGCCACCACTCCGATTATTCCAGCGACCACCACCGCCGCAATTGCCGCTGCCACGCCCAGAACGGGAAACCACCATAGCAGCCGGCGCAGGAAGCAGACCACGAGCCGCGCCGTCAACATCATCAGTGCAGATAAACTGGTGCGCCGTCAAGTAGTCGCCTAGCTGTCCGATCGTCACCGCCGTACCCTTCACTGTAAGAGAAGATGCAAGTGCTCGGTACTCCGGCCACAGACCTCTGAAGACATAAAGGTTCTGCTCATCTAGTGACAATGGCCGGCCGGCGAGAGACAGTTCCTCAAGAATGACCTGAGCACGACCAAGGTACTCAGCGGTGGTGGAGTCTCCTTGCCGCAAGCCTTGAAGTTGGCTGAGAAGACTGAGCGAGCGTGCCCATGTGGAGGACCCAAGTGCTGCTTCAACAGCGGACTAGACTGCTCGGGAGGTATCTTTGCCGACGGCAAAATACATGCACTCATCGGAAAGAGAAGATATGAGCATAGATAGGATTGTCTGGTCTTGCTGCGTCCAGACACCAAACGCTGGATTGAGGACAACAGTTGAACCACCAACGGAGGAAAGGAACTGCACTGGACAAGGAAGAGAACCATCAACGTAGCCGATGAGGTTCTGCCCGTGGAGGAACGGCACCAACTGCGTACGCCAAAACAGGTAGTTCTTGGACGTAAGCTTCAATGAAACAAAGTGATGCGCACCCTGAAGAGAGATGGGTGTTGATAGACACATTTTACACTCATATTTTAGGTACATCTTTATAATAATTTTGCATTGGTTATTTAATATTATCTAATAATTAGTTCTTTTTATATATAATATAATATATAGTATATATAATACATACTAATATATATATATATATATATATATATATATATATATATATATTACGCACAAACTAAACATATATATATAATATAATATATAATATATAGAATATACTATTAATATATAGTACGTGCTAGTACATATATATATATATATATATATATATATATATATATTATAAAGATATAAAAGGTCCACTTTATATATATAATATAATATATATATATAACATTATGTACTAATATATCCTCCCCTCAATTTGTTTTGTAAAGGTTGAGCAAAATTATAGCGGAAGTGGAAGATGTCTTCAGGACGTGAGGCAAGAAATTAGGAATTGGGTGGTGGAAATCCATTTGACCTATTTTTAGAATGCTATAAATAGCAGGAGTTTCCTATTGTAAAATGTTCATTCTTCCCCTCTCGAATATTCTTTAAGGTTGTTATCAATGCCCATTCGCGGCTAATTTCTTGTTTGGTTTAGTGAATTGAAGCCCCGGAGTTCACAACGCTGTAAGGTTATTTATTTATTTTTATTATATATTTTTTATGCATTTGAGTATTAAATATTCTTCTAAGTTATTTGAAATAATTGTGTCATTTAATTGCTAGGGAGGCCTACTAGTTATTTATTTGATATAGTTATTTGCTATATTAGATAATGTTGTGCTACAAATTATTCTAATATTCAGTAGCAACTGGGTTAATTATTGACGGCTTAGTGATAATTGGACTCGGGAAGAATATTTTCCTAAATTAAATGCAACCGCTTGTGCTTGTGTTATTTAGTTTGTCGGTTTTCCTAGTTCCTATTGCTGCTATTAAATTAAATCTATAGCGCTTGTCTTAGGTTATTTAGTAGTTAGGGGTAATTAAACCGCTTGTGCTTTAGTTACCTACAACTAAGGGAAAACAGAAATGAAATAATTTCACGACAAATATTCAATTGCATATTAATTACTTTATTAATCAATGATCAGTGTTGAATTCCGGTGGTGGATCTTTACTAACCAAGGTCTCCTATTATAAGTGTTTTCGATATATTATTTTCATTGCTCTATTCGTTCAATTAAATTTCTTGTTTATTTAAATTCTCTTTTATTTTATCTTTATTCTCGATATATTCCAAACCCCCCTATCTTTAATTTGAGCACAAAAGTTAAACTAGTTACTCCTCGTGGGATCGATCCTTACTCCCGCTACTACGTTTGTAAGGTTTTAATTTGGGAGCCTACGACAGCTCACCAGGTGTCGCTGGCGATGCAGAAGAAGTCGCAAAAGTGACGGTACGGCTATCGGAGACAGAAGAATTATCGGCCATACCTGGAAGCTGATACCAGATGAATGTAGAAGCGTAATAATTGTATTCAGTTTATGTGTCAAACTATAAAGTATTTACAAGATATATAACTTCAGAGTCCTATACAACAAAGACATACTGATAGAATATAACTCTAGACTAGATAAGCTCTAATAACGGTGATGACAATCCAGATTTGTGGTAGCTATCCCATCTACCGACGACTTGCCAAGAGCAAACCAAATACATTTTCAAGATTGTACCGTGTCTATTTTTTTTATATCTACTTCGCCACACATCAAATCCAATGATTGAAGCGTATTTTATATAGAACTCAATCCCATCTTCTAATGTATCAAATACCTGTCTGATAAGCCTCAAAATATGCTAGTTTCTAGGAGCCTTTTATAGGAGTTTTGTGCGTATTTTCATATAAAAGTCTTACGCTTTAGAGTAAAATATCTTAGAGATACAGTTTAGCTCACAAATACCTTCCCAATTGTACTTTGTACTTTTTCAGGTATTTTTTGGACAGGAAACGTGGTAAAAAGGTCAAAATGGGCAAGGCTGAGACAAGCGAACGAACGAGGACCGAACACACCAAGACTACGCGCGAGAAGAGAGACGGAATGGGAATTATTTCCGAATCACGCCCCTCCTCACGGCGTGAAGAGCAGTGTGAATAAGATTTTAAAGAGTCGCGCAAAGCTCACACGAAAGGAGATTAATTCCCCATTCACGTCGGCGTCATGGCGTGACGCCGTGCGTGAATGGGAGGCCGAATGTGGCTAATTTAATGCGAAAATCTGATCTGTAAAGGGGGGTTTGGAGTTTAACATTTTACATTTTTTCGAGAGAGAACCTTTAGGGTAGAGTTAGTTTTCTTCTTTTCTTTTATACGGTTTTAGCCTCAAATTTAGATACTTCGGAAGAGAGATTGAAGATCTAGAGCTTTTGTGGCTTGGGTCTCTAATTACTCACCACCATTTGTAGGAATCTAGCTTGGATTTGGTGAAATCTAAACCTTATTCTCATTTTACATATTTCTTGTATTTCATCTAGTTCTTATTGCTTGATCTTGGTCATTATTATGCTTGGCTAAAATTCTAGGGGTAAGGATTGTTGTTTAGATTGCATTTGATTGATTCGTATTGTGATTTTTTTATTTTTGATGTTGTTGGCATGTATGACTCGTTGGGAGAGTAATTTTATTAAAACTCTTGTATGTGAGTGCACCACATGCTTGTAGATCTATGAGGGATTGTGTCGTCAAGAGATTGAGACACAATCCTAGCCCCCGTCTCTTGCAGTTGATGTCCTTCGATCCGAGAGGGCAAGGTTCAGAAAGGAATGTAGGCAAGGTGTTCGATAGAATGTCTCGTAGAGAATAAGAATTCCTACAAGAGGCGTATAGAGCGGATCGGCTACACACTAGTGACGCCATTCCTCTTGTCTAGTGTCAAAATACTCTCTAATCATTCAACCTTCGGTATGACCACCCGTGCAATGCAATCGAAACACAATCTGAGCCCGTTTTCCTTTCCTTTGTTCTTAGCTTTCCTATCTCTCTTTCGCTTTGCTCTCTTATTCCAACTCAACTTGTTAATACCCTTCCTCAACCAAGAACCTCAAATCCAAACGACCTGATTATAGAACTGACTTGATGCTTCCAATTTATCACTCCTTGAGTACGACACTCGAGGTGGTTCTCACTCCCGCATTTTAATTCTTTCCATCATTTCTCGACACGACCATGTTTATCTAATCTTTTGACCACGCTTCCTAAAAGAGAACCGTAAGCGAAAAGTGTCTCGGTCACTGTCCAACAACTGGTTTGAAGCATGGGCCACATTCTGTTAACCAATACTTTGTACTACCAGGGGATATATCCATAACACAATTTTGACCATTATCATTTCCTTTACTGGGTTCTGCATCATTGAGAGATAAACGCATAAACTTCCCTATCTCATCAATAACCATTTTGAAACATATATATAGCACACACTGATCAGGCTAACGCACATGACACCACTAATTCGTGCACACACCTATGCAGCAAATTCAAAAAAAAAAACAACAAAAAAACAAAAAACAAAATTGCAAACGCCTATACAAAAATTAGATTCATATAGTTGGGTTTTGTTGGTTATGTAATTCCAATAAACTCGCACAAGCCTAAAAGCAGAAAATGCACGCCCACTACTGCAATGCTTACCTAAAACACAGTGTTATGCACACGCCCGAATGAAGTAACGCACACACCAAAAAATCAAAAACATATGCCCATACACGCCCCCCACAAAACACCCCACAACCCATCAAAGCACTCTTAGAATTTGCACACGCCCACCTACATTAACGCAACCACCATCTCATCACAAATAAATAAATAAATAAATAATAAAAACCACAACATGATGCAAAGTTCCATTGCCAGAAATTTGCGCACGCCATATCACACAAATGCACACACCAACGTACCAAAAAAAAATAATATGATGCAAAGTTCCATTGCCAGGCTAACGCATACACCACCACTAATTCGTGCACACACCTACGCAGATCGATTGTCAAATGGTGAAACCGAAGTTTACTTGAAAACCACCTTCCTAGACAACGTATTCAAGAATGATTTAAGCTTTCCATTGAGAATATGATTTTTCCAAGCTATTATTACACTATTTAGATTAAAGAATTTGATAACATAAAAATTAATTCTCTCCTTAATTAGGGTTTCTCTCTAGCTTTCTTCCTTCTAGGGTTTTCGACTTCTGGCTTCTATGATCGAACCGAACGACGATGGGCTTCTGGCGACATGGCGGGCGTGTCTCAGCAGCAGCCTGATGGAGGGTAGAGGCCTTGTCAGGACGCTGGGCTGACATGGTTCTCGAAGACGAAGAAGAGGGTGTTGAGGCCGACGATAACTTCCAGCCGGCACCGGGTGATGGGGCGCTGGTTTATTCTGTGGTCAGCCGTTTCTTGACGGCAAAACTAATCAAGGTGGAATTTATGCGGCAGGTTTTAGCATCGGTTTGGTAGCCGGTGATGGGGATGCGGGTAACGGAGTTGCACTCTAACTTATTCCTCTTCGCCTTTTACCATGAGACGGACATGGTGTGGGTGTTAGAAGAGGGGTCTTGGTCCTTTGATAACCATACATTAGTCTGTCGACATGGTTACGGCATTTAATCCTGCATTAATTATTTAATTAACTCCGTTAATAATAAGTAGAAAGGATTTAATTTAATTAGGAGTCCCTTTAACTAATTAACATGGTCCACCATGAATCGTGGACATTTGCCTAAACTGGAGTCTTAAGCCTATCAGGAATAAAGAGAGTAGACCTTTCACCAGTTAGATTCTAATTAAGGATCCTAGACCTATAACCTATTAGGAGTAGGACATAGGTCTTTGTTATTCAGAGTCTAATCAGGATTGCCAACTCTATAAATGGGGGATTAGAAAGCAATTAGAACCCTTACCACCCATAGTTGTATTACACGAAATTATTTCCCGGGAAAATTTCCACCACCAAGCCTAGGGAGATCAATCGGAGGGAAATCGTAGAAAAGAACCTTAATAGCCAAGGGAGGATTAATTG